CACTTGTGCTCTGAGAAGGTTGCAAGTACCCGGTTCAGTCCCAACAGTCTCCACTCTGAGTTCCTGAGCAAGACCCTTAACCTCTGATTCCCGGGCGCCGCACAATGGCAGCCCACTGCTCCCCAAGGGGATGGGTTAAATGCAGAGATGAAGTTCTTTAATATGAAATCAATAAAGTTCAGTTATTAATTATACAATTGTATGTGAAATACAGTAATAATATTTCTTTACTCTAGTTTATAATCTAATAAGATTATCTTAACACATTTTACAGTCAATACAGCTAGAGAAGACAGGTTTTAATATAAACCTCGGGAAAAATTCACAGAAAGCATTTACAACTTTAAGCGCCAACCTTAAACTAATATGCATTTACTTTCCTGAAACATGTGCTTGGTGTGTAAATGGACACTTTTCAGCCTACCAACATGCAAGCAGGACACAGGAGGCCTTTTGGAGACCACTTAACTAAAGTCTGGTGATTACCTTCTTTCACTCTATAATTACACATCACATGAGTTCCTAAGACTCAGTTAGTTTATTGAGTCATGTGCTAAATTAACTAAATTAATTACAGAAAATCTGTGCATTTGAGGGACACAAACAATTTTTCTGCATTTAACAGGGAACATTGCAGACATACAAGACATCGAAGAGGAACAGGTTCTGTTAAAGGAGTTGGCAAAAAGACATACACACACACACACAAATATATACATACACACATACATACATACATACATATACACATATACATACATATAGATACATACAGACAGACAGATGAAACAAAGGAAAACAAAGTTAAAATAATCTGGAAAAGTTTGGGGCTGACCTGTGCCCTGGATTCTACCAATTTTGCACATTTTACTAATTTCATGAACTCAGCAAAAGTTAAAGCTCGCAACAAGTTTCCATTAAAGGAGCCCAACTTGTGAAACCGTTAATTTAGGCTCATATCATACGTTGCCTTGGACTACAGCTGTCTCGGTGTTCAGGCCTGCACTGTCTGAACCCCACGGTCCATGTGGGAGGACCAATGTGCCCCTCACCTTGAGAAGATCCAGAGGATGCGTGCAGCATGCTGCTCCGCAGGAGGCCAGCCCCCCAAAGTACCACCGAGACATCCGTTTCTCAGTCATGATAACAGCGGCTCTTCCGTCCTCCTTCCACGGCACCGCGTTCTTTTCTCCCGGCTAGCCGCGCCGCTTCGTCCGCCTCAATTGACCGTTTGCTTCCAACAGGCCCGGAGCTTTCAGCTGCAACTAGCAGTAAACTGTGCAAACCTCGTTAACCTTCACACGTTCCGATAAAACAGGGTGCCTAGAAGCGGGGACTTTGATCTTTAGCCGCGCGGGCACTTTCTCGCACTGAGCCCAACGTGCACGAGGGACGTCGTTGAAGCTACAAACGCAGCAGGAAGCAGCTGAGGACAGAGGAGCCCAGCCAATTGTCACTGTGGACTGAGGAGCTGCCTACCAGTCCAGTGGAGAGGTCCACGACGTAGTATGACATTGCAGAAATTTTCTGCTCCCATTCTCCTATTTCACCATTTCTAGTTGTCATGTGCTTTTAAAGTGATATACACCCTCTCGGATTTCATACGTTTGTAAATATGCGCACTGTCCCTTTAAGAAGACAGCTGTTCCCAGGAGAACAGAAAGTAACCCACGAAAATGTGGTTGGTTCTCAGCTTTCATTGCAGGAGCATGTGGTTCCCAACCACTCAGTTTAATCCTGCCTTTCTCTAGAATGTTGCATTGTCAATAAAAGTAGGTAATCATGGTAATTAAATTTTTGGTTTAGAGACAAGTATTTTTGGGGGGGAAAAGCAACTGGCTATTATATTTTTAACTTTTTTTTTATTAGGACAAAAAGTATCTATAAAAAAGGTATTAGCAAAATGTAAAAGCTAAAGAGCTTTATGTTCTATTTTAGAATGATTTAATGAATGAACTATAAAGCGTTAACAGATTAATTAAGATCAAGAACATACCTATTAACCATTTTTAACCACATAAAGGGGAAGCATTATTGACAAGCAAATAGACCTTCTTTATTTAGGGTCTTAGTAGAGCAGGCCTAATTTTGCTTTAATTTCATCTAATTTAAGAAACCATCTTAGAATTTGCTAAATACCCTTGCTTTTTTCTCAGGAGTGGAAATAAAGCTAATGCTCCAATAAGCAGTTTACTTTCGTAAACTCTTACAAACATTATCCCAATGTTTGAAGCCCAATTAATGCCTTTTTTATTCCTCGTTGGCTACGTTCACACTGTGGGCCTTAAGGCTCAATTCCAATTCTATTTGTGAAATCCAATTGTTTTGTGTGGTCGTTAACATTTCCAAATATATATGCGACTTGTATTTAATTCAAAATGAATGAGTAGTTTTAGTACCATAATTACATTATTTATGGTGACCTGGATGAACGCTTGCAAATGACCTGCAAAGCGTGCTTCCGGTACAGATCTGGTCTTCGCAGGAACAGACAGGGTTCAATAAAAGGGAATCATTTGATTTGATTGGTCATCATGAATGGAGTATTTCAGTTTCTGCAAAGCAGATGCACTCTATTAATCCTAAGCAGTACCACCTGACAGATAAACCCCACCTCCTTATTTTAATATAAGAACCTGAAATAAAAGGAGCTTAAAATGAGTTACAAAAAAAATAAAATTAATTGAATATGTAAAGCAGCTTTGAAAAATAAAAGTGTCAAAAAAGTCTCCATTATGAAATAAATGAATACATTAAATAATAAATCTTTGAACAAATAAAAAAATCTTTAAATATAATAAAATAAGGCTATTTTAACATATTTTATTTTCATCAGGACATTTATCTATTTAATGGGATATTAATTGACAATTTATCAATAGCAGTATTTATTTAATTTTGAATGAATCGAATCTCCATAGCTCTCCAGTGTGAACTGTGAACCGTATTCACATTGGTTAACTGAACCGCATGCGCAGTAGAGGATGCAATGAAACTACAACCAGATAGATCATACATATGTAGCTTCTGTTTTCATTAGTTCTATGTTAACAAGAAAATTTATTTAGAAAATAGTTTCTTCTGCCTGAAATTAGTTTTTAAATATGTTATTTTTTTGTAAATTCCGTTTATTGTCCCATAAAGGGGAAATTCACTCTCTGCACTCAACCCATCCCCTTGGGGAGCAGCCATTGCACACAATGGCAGCCCACTGTGGCCCCCGGTGAGTAGTGTGGGTTCTGCGCAGGAATCCAGAGTGCTGGCTGTGGGGATTTGAACCGGGTACTTGCAACCTTCTCAGAGCACAAGTGCACTGCTCTAACCAATAGGACAACACTCTAGTCTTTGAGAGACCAGAATTTACACATAACTTTAACCTTTGGTCTCTCTATAATAGTGATAAATTAAAGATATTTTAAGAAATCCAGCTTTACACAACAAAAGCTTGACCTTGCTCTGCATTTTTTTGTGTCTTTTCATCACCCTTGTCTTTGAGATTGACACAAAAAACATTGTTTTTTTTTTTTTGTTTTTTTTTGTGTGTATGTGACTTTGCATCCTAAACAAGAAAAAGAAAAAAAAAAAAGGTAAGCGCGGTCGGATGGGCTGCCCAAAGCTCAGACAGTACTCTAGAAAAATTGTAAAAATCTTGGGTTCTAAAAAGAAAATCTGTGACTTTAATAAACTAATTTTTTTTTTTTTTTTTACCACAAATCCCTTTTATGAAATGTTAGGCAAATTATAACACCCAATTAGTGAGTGCTGTGGGAGGGAGGCATAAAAGTGACTGATAAGTTGTTTGGTTGTTCCACTTCAATTCCTAGAATATTTGTCACACACAAGAAGGCCTACACAAAGTATTTATTTTTTTATTCAATTGGACTGTATTATACACGTGTAATATAATAATATATATATGAAATAATATATATATGAAAATAAGCGTGGCTAAAAGCCACTCTTAATCATTGAAAAAGTACATGATGTTTCCTGAAAAGTTGAAGGAAACCCAGATGAAGTGTAAGCACAGTTGTTTGTTTTTCCCTGAAACAGTACTGGCAGAAGGCAGCACAGGGTCATGTTTAGACACAGCAAGAGAGATAAGGGTGAACATAAACTTGAAACAGTTTTTCATTTTTGAGAAGGAGAAACTGGTTGTACGAAAACAATCATGCTTGCATTGTGTTCTTTTTGTCCTTTAGCCTTAACACCTTTACTGTGTGGCAAATAATGACTCTTCTGAGTCATTATTTGCCACACAGTAAAGGTGTTCCCTACTTGTTCTCCCAGCCTTCTGGCTGGGAGAACAAGTAGGGAAAGAAAACACAAACTCTGTTTATAAAGATATGTTTAGGAAAGTTATTGTTTCTCTCTTCTATCAACAATTTGGGTGAAAAATAAAGTCAGTTTTAGACTATAGGGTTTGTCAGTTTTACTTTTCTTTATATTTTAACAAACATTTTTATTTAGGCTTCTTCTTTTAATGATTAAACAAATGGTGGAATACAGGATTTTCTGTTGCTGTGATTAAATATAATAAATATTAGCTCAAATCTGGCCAACAAAATCACATAATTTCTCCACTAAGCCCTAGAATTTTGTGTCGGTTTACTTTCTTTGTGTACAGTGAGGAACATTGGCATGTGCTAACATGTTTGGTACCTACTCATTTATAACTCGATCACATGCAGGTAAGCCTGCCTTTTCCACAAAAGTGAGTTAGATAGTTTGAGTCATACATCTAAAGTAGGTTTAAAAAGGGACAAGCAGAAACTTCATGACAGAATAAAACCTATTTTTTCAGCTGGAATTTAACAAACATCAAAATGACCAAATACTCAGAAATTGGGAAAACATTAGTTAAAAAAAAAACACCATAATGAATGAAAACAATATTTGAACCAGTCTTTTGCTAGATTCTACCATATTATCCCCTATGGGTCTTTATAGAGAGTAATCACCCTCAATAAAATAGACTTGATAGCTTGTTAGTGTCTACTGCCCCCTAGTGGAGTGTACCTATTATCACTAATCTTTGTTAAAAATGTCAAATTTTGCACTTCAGTCGTTATAATTTAGAGAAACATTTGATACATACTTTCATAATACTCAATCATTACATAAATACTAATTTAATTACAAATTTTCAGATAAAACGTGGATTATTCCAAAGTAATCAGCTAAGTAGATTAATACACATAATGTGATAAAGACAAAAAATTTTTTTTTTTTTTTTTTTGGGGGGGGGGTGATAATAAAAGTAGAAATAATAAAATTAACATGCTATGGTAATGTGAAACAGTAACATTTGTAGGGGTATGTGCAATTTAATTCAACAGCAAACATTTTATTGGATTAAGAAGCGTAGCAAACTTGGCTGTAAGAGGTGGTAATAACAAAAGAATCATAATCCTTTACAGAAAAAAAAAATAAAGCTCAGATTCATTATTCTGTTATCATTTGAATTAAGAAAATGTACATAACTATTTATTTGAACCTTTTAAATTATTAATCATAAATTATGATCTTTCTCTTTGCCTGCATTAGTAGGAAAGTTTTTGACAGCTTTCACAGAATGGATGAAAAACTAGGGAAAAGGGTAAAAGCAATAGTTCAAGGAACTACACAGAGTGACAGTGTTTTGGAGCTATTTAAATAATAATAAAAACACAGAAATACAAAAAATAACAGTCAACCTTTATTTATAGAGCACTTCTCATACAGTTATGTGTTACAGCAGTGATTAGACAAACACTTATCAGCTTAACCTTTGGGGTACGGACAATAAAATGATGAAAATGAACAAATCAGATCATGAAATTCAATTAAATGACGTGTATTGGTAACCTAACCTGTAAAGGTGAAAATATGATCAAATGAGCCTTGGTAACATAGACCTGGCTTTTTTTTAAATAAACATAACTTCAGCATGGGCAGGAAACATTCTCAAATTTAACTAGACATCCATATAGATCCAATAGATAGTTAAGCAATCTGTGCACTGGTTGAGTTTCTTCTTGGAAGATTTTAAAAGTGGACTACAGAGAAGTAATGACTGGTTAAAAATGACAAATGGGACTAAAACGGGAACTTGGCCACCATTCAAAAAAAATAAAATAATAATAATAAAGTATCCAAAGAGGTGTTTTAAGTAGGAAAACGAGTAAGGCAAAGATTTAAGGCAAAATCTACTGTCAACGTTTCATAACTCCAACATTATAACACAAAGATAATAGATTCTAACTTTTTAATATGGACATTATACTGGACTGTATATCTAACTTGATAGGCATTTGCCTAAAACAGTGTGACAACCTACATCCTACAATCTAGTAATTGCAGAAAAGAAAGCTTTATTCAGGATACTAAAAAAAACACAGTCAAAGAAAGCAAATCACTTTTTTTGAATTGCCTTTCCTATATAAATAATTCAAATTCTATGGAACACTGTGCATTTCATGAATCATTATTTCAACGTACTTTTTTTTCAATTAATATACAGTATATCAAGCAGGAGTAGCAAAGCTTAATAAAATAATATATCTTGATAAGAATAAAACCACATAAAGATTTAAAGTTAACCAACCCCTGAAAAAAGTGGGATTTTTTTTTTAGAAAAAAACAAAAAAACATTGTATAGTGTTGTACAATGCACCGGCCTTTAGTACGCAGACCACACACAATGAGGCACACACATAAACACAAACATAGGCAGAGGCAGAAAGGCATCTTAGAAATGTGAGCCATGCGCATTAGTGATCATCAAAACATTTAAAATCCTCCTACAGTTTAATTCATCTCCCACTCCAACACAAAGCCCTTAAAGTAAAGTTATTAATCCTTCTTTTTTTTTAACATGACCACAGTGTGGTATGCAGATAAGCCTAAAATTATTTTATTATTATTCAATGAAACAAACATCTGCTAACACAATGTTAGAGTATTCATTTTGAAAAACAAACAAAAAGATTGAATTAACTTTTTTAATCAGAAATGACACGTCCAGAATTATTAATATCATTCCCAATAATATGTTCAAATGATCACTTTTTGTTTTTATGGCTTTAGCATTGGTATTTCATTGTTTCTCTATAGCAATGAGCTAAAAATCATTAAAGATGGAAAACGTCCATAGATCGGATCTTTAGCCTCTATTTTCTATCAGATTTAGGCTCAGGACTTTGGCTGGTGCAGATAAACACATAGAATTTGATTCTGTCAGGACAGAAATAGAACTCTTAAATTCCCAGGAGTATGAGTGATTTAGGCCTCTACTTTAGTTTACTTTTGTATGTAAGACACAATTCTACAGTGTTAGTTCTGCTAAAAAAAAAATCTGTAAGCATGGTTATCAATAGGACTGAAGGCAGAACAAGACATGAAATCAGCCCACGTTTTGAAGAAATGTAATATTTTCTATATACAGTATAAAGTTCTACAAGTAATAACTGTAAACTGTGTATTTTACAGGAGTTGAGCAATGTGATCTCATACAAATGACTTCTCCGGCTGCTTCACCTCTCCTGCCATCCCAGGGGATGGACTGAGTTTTGCTGCGGCTCCAGAAATGGGCAGCGCTCTTCCTCCTGGTGCAGAGGAGCCGACGTGAAGCAGAGTTCCCCCCAGTAGCAGCAGCATGCTAGCCCCCCAGCCCAGATACAATGCAGGTCCCAGTTCTCTCTTTAAAGGTGCTGCAACACTTGGATCATAGAAGTCCCTGATCGTAGCATAGGCTGTCCAAGAGATGGGAGTTAAATAGGCGAGGCCAGCCACAATGAGGAGCACCCCTGCTATCCTGGCCAGTCGAGCTTTGGAGTCCTGGTTACCGTCTCCCATGCAGTGAGTACACTTTGCCCCAACTACACCAAGCATTACAGCAAGGATGCTGAGGAGCAGGGCAAGAACCGTCAGGCCTCGGGCTGCCTGGGCAGACTTAGGGAGGGCCAAGGTGGAATCGTAGGTCTTGCACTGGATGTGACCTGTGGTCTGAGACAGACAGTTCATCCATAGACCCTCCCACAGCACCTGGGCAATCACTAACTCTCCCCCAACGAAGGCTGATATGCGCCACAGTGGAGCCGCGCAGACCAAAGCCCCGCACACCCAGCCCAGCAGGGCCAGCACCAAGCCCAGCACCTGGAGACCCATTGATGCCATGGTTGACCAGGAAGGTTTCACCGTTAATGGGTGTAGAAGCGCCTAACCCCGAACTTGGTTCTCTCACTAACAATTAAAGACTGATTATCCACGTAATTCTTGGTCAATCAGCAAGATCTTCAGTGTCCCCACTTCTCTCTTGAACCGATCAACTATGGAGAAGAAATCATCTGTTAAAAACTATAGTTTATAGCAACATAGATAAAAGCAATTTGTCAAACTTACTTTAAACCAAGCTCCAGAGGCATCTAGATCATCCTGTCTGCTTCTACATCCACAGTCACTCTACAAACATACAGATGTCAGCCGTCCTGCCTCTGCTGTTTTGACAGGGCCACTTGTCTCACTACAGAGCACACAGTGTAGTGTGGGAGGGCAGCAGCGTAATACTGCATACTAAATATAATCAGACAAAAAGCACAAAGCAGGAGACTAGGAGACATTGTTACAGATAGAACTGCCAGCAATCATCTTGTCACGTTCTGAATTTGGGGTGGGCGGCGAAAGGGTGAAAGATGGAGGTCAGTTGGAAGCTTTTGCACATGTGTTGATCCAACATAGAAGATTGAGTTCTCTTTGTTGGTGCTGAAAAAGCACTAATGCCCCAGAAGTTTTCTCCATTTGTCACCAAAAACCTCTGTCTCTTTTAGATTGAGTTAATTTGTTGAACCAACACAATGCAATGCATTAAGGGAAAGGGTTACATGAATGGTAATTTTGTTTACAAATAAAAATAGGACATTTTTTTTTTATATATTGATTCATATTTAATTATATTTTGCCTGATACCCCTTAACCACATTTCAATGCCACCGATTGCCTTTAAAAAATCACAATAAACATAAATATTCGTAACCTTGGTGTAAATTAAGCTGTTCTGGGGCAAACACCATTAAAAAGACCAAACTACACAAAAGGTCAAGGACGAGTTTTTTGGAAAAGTATATTTTTTTGATTGAAAAATAATACACTAATTTACATTTCTATATCTTATATACAATCCCAATATGATTTGTTATAACCTCATAAAATGGGATGTAAAATGTTGGAAAGCTCCAAACCCATGAGTGCTTTCACAGTACATTTTTTATGTAAGTCCAAACTTTTGCCACTTGGTGGTGATAGAGACATTGCCTCCTGTTTGTCAGATTCTCTTTGAAGGTTTTTCAGAATTCCCTCCCTATACCTATCTATATAGTTTATCCTTTTAAAGCCTTGTTCTGGCCTAAAGAATAAGGTGGAAAATGAACAGTTTTACTGTTTTAACATCTTGGAATTACAATGTGACTTTAAACATGTTTCCAGGAAATATGGTCTTTTATTATGAATGGAACCCTTTGGTTTGACAGTTTAGGCTGTTTATCCACACATTATACAGACCTTAGATTTTCCAACAACAGTATTTAATAGGGTTACACTGTGTTCGCTGATATAAAAAGTCAGCTTTCATTAAGAGTCTATGATTAAGTAGAGGTTTAAGTGTTTGCTCTTGTAAAGAGAGCTATTGTGCTTACATCCTTGAGCTTTCTTTTCCCCAGTTTTTTTTTTTTTTTTAGGATGTGATCCCTTGGGACAAAAACTCTTTAAACAACACTCTCCTTTAATTTTACCCAGACCAAGGAAATGGCTCAGGTTATACACAGCTGGCATACCGGGCTTATCAGTAAGGATCACAAATAAAATTGGATCTGCACAGTCACACCCTGATACACGGCATTCTGAGATCAAGGGCAATTCAAGTTTACAGAGTATTCTCTGTTAAGAATTATAATAATGATTGAACTTTATTGATCTCACATTGAAGAAATTTACCTCTGCTTTTAACCCATCCCCTTGGGGATGTAATTTAGGGTGACCATATTTTCATTTGGGAAAACCAGGACACCTTGGA